AAAGAAAAAAGGGGGCGCTCCAACGGGGGGTAACCTCCCCGATAAAAAGAAAGGGGGGGGAAAAAGGCCCTTCTGGTGTTTTTGATCTAGAAATAGAAAGAAAGAGGGTGGTTAAACCACACCACAGCCCGGGCCCCCCCCCCCCCCCCCTGGTTTTGGCTGAAAAGAACTTAGTTTTTAGAACAAGTTATTATTTTTTATTTTGTTTTTATTTTGAGTGTAACATCCCTTTAAATGGATTTTTTTTAATTAAAATTTTTTTTTAAATTTTACTTATTTATTTATTTATTTATTTATTTATTTATTTTATTTTATTTTTTTTTATTTTTTTTGGTTTTTTGGGGGGGGGGGGGTGTTGTGGTGTCGTTAAAATTGGTTCGACGTCAACCTCTTAAATGAGTCCTCTTCTTTTTAGAGACACAGTGCTTCTCTAACCCTTCCTCTATCTCTCAACTTCTCAGACTTATGCCTGCCTGTCTGTGTGTCTGTTTGTGTGTCTGTGTGTCTGTCTGTCTGTGTGTCTGTCGCCTCTTCTCTGTCTCTCTCTCTCCTCTTTCTTTCTCTCTCTCTCTCTGTCTCTCTCTCCCTCTCTCTCTCTCTACCTCTCTCTCTTCCTCTCTCTATGACTCTCTTTGTCTCTCTCTCTCTCTCTCTACCTCTCTATCTCACTTTTCCTTCCTCTCTATCTATCTCTTGTTATTTATTATAATATGATATGATATATTGTAATATTATTTTATAAAGTATTTTAATATAATGTAATGTAATATAATATAATATAATATATATAATGTAATATGATATAATAATATAATATAATATAATATAATATAATATAATATAATATAATATAATATAATATAATAATAATATAATATAATATAATATAATAAAATATCGCATCGTATCGTATCGCATCACATCACATCATGTCATATCATATCATATTATTATCATATCGTTCAACCTGACTATGTCCCGTTGCAGTGAGCACCAAATGCGGTAAGCCGCTAACGATGCTGTTGGGCATAGTGACCTATGACCTTGGCACCCTGCTGGGTCTATGGACGGTCCAGCATTCAGTTCTGGCACAGACGTTCACACAGGGAGTCATGCCTGGCACGGGATTAGGTATTTTTTCTCTTCTCTCTGTTCCTTATGTCTTCTTTTCTAATACTTTCATAATTTATAGTAGTAGTAGTAGTAGTAGTAGTAATAATAATAATAATAATAATAATAATAATAATAATAATAATAATAATAATAATAATAATAATAATAATAATAATAATAATAATAATAATAATAATAATAAATGACATTTATATAGCAGCGCCACAACATGGTGGAATAAGGCACTCGTCAATTTTAAGGCATGATGGAGTTATTGGTATAATCTTAAAGATTGTTCAGTTGTCTTGATATCGGTGAAAAATGCCCATCTACTATCTTGGATAGTAGTCAAGATATTTGAGATTGGAGAGGATGGGGTCGCCTGGTTTCAAAGGTAGAATTAGCGAGAAAATGGCGGCCAAAGTTTGGCCATGTCCAATGCTAGATAGTCCGTGGAAACTGAAAATGTACATTTGTTGTACTTCTAACCAACGATTAATAGTAAAATCCACCCAGAAACGTGTTCTTAATTGGATAACAGTGATGTTAGGGGGAAAAAAATATAGCCTTTGAATTTTCACTTCGAACTTCGAACTTCGAAACAAAATTGCGATGCAGATGGAAGTGGGCACGAGGTTCTCCTCCTTCAAAGATTTTGAAGAGAAATTTGCAGCTTTTCAAGAGATCAAGATTCTAGGCCTAGATTCTATTCTAATGTGTACTATAGACTCTTTTCTCACTTCAGTTCAGTACTTTAGTTCTCTTCTCTTACTTGGGCCTAGACTTGACCGTAGCCTAGATTTATCTAGGTCTAGAACTAGAAGAAAGAAGAATTGAAAAGGTTTTCCACCTGTCCGGTACTGTGGTCTCCAAAACCCGTATTATGCTAGATCTAGATCCACATGTACATATCTAGATCTAAATGACGTCTGAATAATTCAGAATAACAAGCAAGCGTTGAATGATCATTCCTTTCTTTTTAAAAAAAATTCTTCCACCAACACCATAATCTACTATAGTTAAGTTAGATCTATATTTACGTTAGATATAGTCTAGTATTTAGTAACCCATCGTCATCATGCCCATGTCGATCAATGTGGGGAACAATAGATCTATGGGCCTGTACGTCTGTTCTCAGTGTCACTGGGAACAATAGCCTAAGGCCTAGGCCTATTATAGCCAGTGGTTTCTGAGCCTATTCCCAGTGTTACTGTGAATAGTATCTGGGCCTATTCCCAGTGACACTGGGAATAGTTTCTAGGCCTCTCCCCATTGTCACTGGGAATAGTGCTTTCCATTTATTAATATCCCCCCTTAGGGAATAGCCTAAAGACACTTCAGTCAGTAGCATTGTCTTGTGGGGGGGGGGGGGGTTCACTAATCATATAATGATCTAGTTGTACTTGTAGCTTGATCTACACTCGACTTTCTCTCCGTCACGACAGCAACGGCTAAAACATGGAAGTAATCGTAATTGGGGATGTTTTACGCTCCCTGTAACACAACTTAAGTAATTTGGTTAGGAGGAGGCAAAGATTTTCGATCCAGACATTTAGGACCAGCCCCGGCAGAGAGGGATATTTCTTGTTTGTGGAATATTTGGTGGACCAGGCTCAAACGCACTCGAATTCGAGCAGCCTCAGTGTAACATGAGTTGTAGAACCATACTGAAACCCTAGACCACATAATATCATACTGGTGGTATCTGTGAGATGGATCAAGCAAAATCCAGAAGTACATTGTAGTACGATGTAGTTTCAACTTAACGCACACTCGACACTCTCCTGTAACGAAACAATGATCAAAAATTAAGGACAACAACGTGAAACATAATAAACTTAAGGGGGCGGGTGTTGCAACTTGTCACTGACAAGGCCTTCTTCTTTCTTTGTTTTTTGTTTGTTCGTTTGTTTGTTTTGTTTCTCCTTGCTGTTTGTCTCTTCACACATAAAAAGGTTGTCATTGAGTCTATGTGATTTGATTCAAACACAAAAAAGCGACAAACAAGCAAACACAATTACATACGACCTCTCCCTCTTCCTCCCACCCGCTCCCCCTCCCCTCACCTAAAACTCAGGTATCATCCTGGCAAACTCTATGGACTACACCTTAGCTTGGCCGGCGGGAAAACACCTGGGCCTTGTATTGACCATTTCCACCAACACAAACTTTGGAGCCACGGGCATCAACTACATCGTGTCCAGCTTCATCAATCCGGAGAACCATAGCCCGGACCTGGAGACTGACCACACCACTTACTTCACTCAGGAAGATGTCCTGGACAGGTATATAATATGTACTTCATTCGGTAGGGGTATAATGTACGTACATATTTGTGCACATACACAAGCACGCACGCACGCACGCACACACACACACACTACACACACAGAGAGAGAGAGAGAGAGAGAGAGAGGGGGGGGAGAGAGAGAGAGAGAGAGAGAGAGGGGGGGGGGAGAGAGAGAGAGAAAGAGAGAGAGAGAGAGAGAGAGAGAGAGAGAGAGAGAGAGAGAGAGAGAGAGAGAGAGAGAGAGAGAGAGAGAGAGAGAGAGAGAGAGAGAGAGAGAGAATTGTGGGGTGGGAGTTGTTTGTAACAGATGGCCAAAGCATTTTCGTCTTTGAGTTTCTATGAATTGATGTAGGCTGAACTCCTTGCCAAAGGTTAGTTGCTCGACCATCTTCATTTCTCTGCCTGCCTTTTCCTGTAATGTTTACGTATTTGCGGAGACTTTTAGTCTCGCATACGGTAGTTTTGCTTACGTGGGTTTTTACTGAATGTCAACTGGTACATGTCCAATCATAGCATAATGTTGGTAAAAACAATAAAGTGGAAAGCTGTCTCTTTGCCAAAATAGATATTTGGATGGTATGTATGGGCTTCGCACTGATAGGTGTCAGTACTATTGTAGCTTATTCATTAAAAGTACAAATCAAAGGAACAGTTAAAGAAAAAAGAATTGGCGTATGTGATGTAATGGATTGGCACATTGGCGATGCATGCTGTAAACACGAGTAAGATTTCCATTTAAAGAGATTTTTATTTTGAGTATCCCCGTCTTTTTGCTGGGACGTCGTATCCCTTTCAACCGGGTTCGCCTTCACAGGCAGGATCAAATCCGGTGTCCTAAATTATCTAAGTTGTGTCGATGGGGGTGAAAAATACCTACATCTAAAAATAATACAAAGTATAAAAAGTATATTTTTTTGTTCTTTTTCCCCCAGGACTCCATACAGCTTTGTCCTTCTATCAGTAACATTCCTCACGATTCACATGCTCGGTTTTTTGATGATCCGCTTGCCAAGCCCAACAATTTTTGCCCAGGGCGTAGACGACGCTGAGTCGGCCGTAGCAGAAGCGAAAAAAGATGAGGAAAAATATTCTCTGGCTGCAGGTCAAGAAATAAGAGTTTACCACGAAGGACCATTAGAGAGGACGGAAGAAGTTTTACAGATGGACAAAGAACAACACCAAGTCCTGCCCAACCTTGCTCAGGGAGGTTCCAGTCATAGTTATGTTCAGGGAAAAAATAATTGTGATACCGCTGGGCATCTAGAAAAATCTAAGTTCATATTACCCAAATTGTCTGGATTTTTCAAAAGAAGACCTGATGAAAAAACACCTCTAACATCCAATAGAATAGAGAGAGTAGTTCCAGAAACTCCCGAGGAAGAGACTGTACTGAGCCTACCTGCACCGTCAGAGAACGACACAGAAATGACTGTGCCATCTAAAGACAGAGCTAAAAACACAGAGAAATATCCACTGAACATCACCGCTTCTGACGCTATAAGAAATAAACAGTTCTACGTGTTGTTTTTCTGCATTGCTGCAACGGAGTACAACTTCATCCTAGAAGCCTCCTACTACAAATTGTTTGCCCAAAACGTCATAGCAGACGACCATTTTCTCAGCAGTATTGGAACAATGGCTGCAATTTCTATTTTCATTTGTAAACTGTTATCAGGCGTGGCAATCGATACATTCGGATTGAAAAACACTTACCTGGCTATGCTTTCAACCATAGCAATTTTAAGCGGGTTTTGGTATTTTACCGCTTTCATCAACAAGTGGTTTTATTCTTTCTGGTCGTGTGCATACGCTTCCTTTAACTTTGCCTGCTACAGTAGTGTGACGGTAGCGACGTGCAAAGTCTTTGGCTCTGAGTACATCACTACCATATTTGGCCTGATTTCTGTCGGTGGAGTTATCGCTACTTTATGCTTGCCGTACACCACAGAGGTGCTCTTGTCGTGTTTTGGCTGGTTCGGGGCGTTCACTGCTGCCTCAGTGTTTGTTGTCGTGGCTGTCATTTTGCTAGCCATCATCTTCCCAAACATTAAGTAAAAAAATCGTGCGTGTGTGATTTTGTGTATTTATGTACTGGTGCGCGCGTACGTGTGTGTATGTGCGTGTGTGTGTGTGTGTGTGTGTGTGTGTGTGTGTGTGTGTGTGTGTGTGTGTGTGTGTGTGTGTGTGTGTGAGTGAGAGAGAGAGAGAGAGAAAGAGAGAGAGAGAGAGAGAGAGAGAGAGAGAGAGAGAGAGAGAGAGAGAGAGAGAGAGAGAGAGAGAGAGACAGCA